ATGTCTACCCACTTTCAGCCGGGAGTTGTTTCATGCTCTTTAATGCGAGGAAGTGGAAGTGGACGGTCTCCAATGTCACCTGCGGCCAAATCATTTTTGTTTCCGTGAATTTCTATATCATTCTAGCCATTACAATCCTGATTTTTCTACTCGACTGCACCACGTTGATTTGTTTGAGAGTCAAACACAAGGTCAGTGGCTGATAATGTGTTCTTTGACCCTTATATCAGCTGCCGTTCTGTTGGCCGGAGTGTGACTCAAGTGGGCTCTAGTAAATCTTCCACCTTACCCTATCGCGTAAAGAGTAGTTTAGTGAGTTTTGCGTGCTTTAGAAACTCGCCGAATATCAAATCCTATTGAAGAGTCTCAAAAAGTGACCCTAACATTCAGGCACATGGTATTTCCTGTTGTGCCCTTGAGATTACGAATCCCGAGAGTAGATATCGGCTCTTCTCTCAACCGCTCTCAAAAAGTTTCATCACGTGCCCACCTTACCTGACTTGCAAAATTTTCATACGCGCAGCAATGTTTCTGAGCATATCGTGAATTGAGACATCTTTTACCCTTCTCAACTTGTATGGGACAGATATTCTCAATTTCGCCCCGTTAGTGGTGCGCCTTCAACGAGAGGTAGCTCTTCATTCTTCTTACGTATCGACCACGTTTCCGGCATGCACTGGCATTAGAATGTTCTGTAGCGGTTGGAACTTTGGCACGAAGTCACATGTTCTTATATCTTTTTACCACTTCGTTATTGTTCCAAAAAGCTTCCCTTACTTCTTGTTTACCTTGGAGCTATGCCAATTACCATGCTGACTTCCAGAAACAGACAAACACGGCTAATGTATTCGGAGATATTTCCTTAGATCAACGTAAAAGGATGGCAAACATATCAAATTTGATTGAATGTCAACCTTTCTCCATGCGTTGTCAATGTCGACCATCTTTCGTTTATCTTAATTAATGCTTGATGTTGCATGAGCGATGTCATTAGCAAAGCAAAGATAGTGCAATTACCAGCAATTTACTTTCAATCCTACATTGTCCAACTCTCCACCTAAGTTTCTATAGATTTAGGCACCTTAGAACAACTTTGTGATTTCGACAGTCTCCCGTACTTGTCTTATCCTACCCAACTACTTCGTTTACTCTTTCGCGTTCTAACGAATGAAGTGCACGGCTCCTTTTGGATATCCGGGTACAAATGAAGAAACGACCTTTTCTGCTGGCCAAGAACTTTTCACAAGAGTTTTAGTGATTACTGGAAAGCTTGGATCTTTGACTAATGACGCGCAGCTACTTTTTCAAAAAACTTTTTTATTACCCAGTAGCATTCAAAATTAAATTGTGTTTCGCACCCGCCGCGCGCTTTTATTTTTATCACGCATATAATTCCCTGGAAGCTCCAAAAGCATACGAATGGGTGGAAAAAATCTTTGAGTATTAAAGTCATAAGTCTTACCTGGAGTTTCGAAGCGGAAAAAAATGGCGACTGAATAACGAAAATTCCACTTCGCATTTGTAAGGCGTCCACATAGTCGACCGATAGCCGCATGGAATCCACGGCCAACATTCCACCGCTGACGCTCAACCCACACAACTAGCCGAAAAACAATGCCCGCGTATGCGAAACTCGATCTTAATAGGTTGGGGAAAGATTTCTGAGAAAATGCTTGTAATTTTCCTGGGTGTCGGCCATTTTTATGTCTTTGGACTCATTTGAAAGCTCGTCTTCTCATGCGTTGTTGGAATATAATTCATCTACTTATTTCAAGTTGGAGTAAAGCGAGCAAATTAGGTTGCTGATAATGCACGAATGGCTGTTGGGCTCAAATGCAACGGTGGCAAGTGAACTTATCAAGATGCATCAACATCATCATCATCAACGCATCAACGAGGTAGATAAATTATATACCAATCAACGTAGGAGGAGACAGGCTTTACAATGAGCCCATGAACACAAGAGATGGCCGACGCCCAAAAAAGTCGCAAGCATTTTCTCAGAACTTTTTCCCCAACCTATTATCTTGCGTGCTGCACAGCAGGGGCTGTCTTTTAAGAAAATAAACACAGCGTTAGAATTGTGGACACTTACGCTATCGAATGGATACTTGTAATCTGAGAAAAGATTCTGTCCTGCGAGAAATATGCGTGTGTAAAACATAAATCTTTTCGTTCTGCGACAGCGCTTTCAAAAAAGTGTTCACAAAAAGCTAGGAGATTCTTGAATTCTTTGAGAAATGTGCTATTGAAAAATTATTAGTATTATAAGGAAAGAGTTTTGTTTTGTCCAACGAAATATAAGCAAAACAAAAAAGCGTATCGAACCTGCAATCATTATTTTATTCTGAATGCCACTGTGCTACAAAAAGGCCTTTTCAAAAACAGAAAAAAGAATATGTTGGGCAGTAGCCAAAGATTCAGGCTCTCGAATGATTGTTTAACGTCAAGTGTAAGGTCTTCGCCACGTTTCTTCATTTTCCCCGAATAATTGAAAAGAACCAAGTCCGCTTCTTCTAGTGTGTTTGTTTTTTGATGACCGATTATGGTTTGCTGAGCTCCGAAAGCGTGAGGTGAATGTATCAAACGGTTGCTTGGCAGTATGTCGCAGTGTAGATAAACATTTCGTTGGTCAAAGACGAATCATAACCATGTTGGCTTGGAGATTATATTCCGCATAAAAGAGAACTGCAATAACGGACCGGCAAATGTGGCGATACCGCTTTCTACATTGTTCTGCGTCATGAGAAAGCAAAAAGTCGCTTTTGTTCTACATTGAGTCTTCTCTTCGCCACCTTGGAACGCGTCATGAAGCCTCACTGGTAGGAGCCGGGAAACTTTTTTTGAGGAATGAATGCTAAGTCTCGTTTAGCAGTATACCATCATATTAATTTGTTATTGCCAGTGTTTGAGACAACGGAGTAAGTACTATAGAGACTATTCGACCTTCTTTAAACCATCCTCTATTTATGCCATATTCATCAACTGTGTCAACAACTTCTTTCCATCAAATGCGTTATGACAATACCGGCCTACTTGGTGCGTGTGTGTGTGTAGTGATCGACACTCAGAATATCACTGCTGCTATTGCCAGCATCATTCAAAAGTCTTCATTTTTTTCACCCAAGAAAATTAACACTAAAAGTTTTTATATGGTAGACGACAAGAAAAAAGGAGATATTTATTCAGAATTACGCTCTTCTGAAGCTAGTTGAAGCATTTTGAATAACGATTTTCTTCTACCGCTGTGATCGATCTAAAATCTTTGACTGGCTTAGTTAGTGTGAGGTAGCTTTTAAGACCTTTACTGTGCTAAGGATTCAAAGTATTCGTTTTCCCAGAAGCCTGTCTGTCCCAACGCGATGATAAGCAAGTGGTTGTCATGAAAGTGAAGGTGTTCGTTGCTGCATAGTTGAATACAATGCAGTAGAACACCATCATTAAAATGAAATGCCCTCAATCGGCAGAGCTATCTTAAACCAAAATGGTGTTGTTCTACGTCGAAGTAGTATGCTTTGACTTTTTAGCAACAGTGCCTGTAGTGTGGCTATCTTCACCGGTCGGCACATAGCGTCGAGGCACGACCCGACTTTCCCTCTAACCTCATCAAGGATAATCAATACTTGAATGTGCTGTTGAATCGCATCGTCACATCATTCTCAGTGCTTTCAAATTTTAGAGCCTAACAGGTTGTCCTTTTGGCTGATTTAGATATCCAACTTGAACGTGCCGCAGCAGGAGTTCGACATTTGCATGCCAAGAGAATCAGCCAGTTGTTACCAATTGAAGCAACTCCCATGACCGACTATCAGTTAACCTCGGCATTGATTGAATAACTCCTTGATTTTCTCATTCAGCAGGTACGAGGTTGTTAATTTGGAGATTCATTCGGTACAGATGACACTACAATAAACTTGGTCGTGAGGGCAGACGCTTCGGCTTTGAGCCTCCTTCAGAGCCTGAAAGAATCAAATTGATATGTGACACACTCAGACACACTTTTAACTAATGCCGAAAAGGCTGTAAAATAATAGAGCAAGGATAAAATAAAAGTAGTTATAAAATATTTAGAGCAAAGAAAAAAAAGATAATTAGAGCAAAAAAGGTTATGAAAGTGCTCGTCGGAGTGGGTTACATATCAATTTGACTCTTACAGGCTCTAAAGAAGGAAAAAACCTGGAAATATCAGCCATCACTATCAAGTTTATCGGACTGTCCATCTGTTCCGAATAATTCTTCAAATTGACAACCTCGTACCTGCTGTAACCAACTGCTGAGTATCATCGCCATTTTGGCAGACTAATATCCTCGAAAGAGGTTCTTTACCACTGGAAATATTGAGACGAAATCAAGTGATATTAAGACCATACCGGATTTCTGTGAGATCGTAGTCAATCCTTGGAAAGGATAGAATGTAAGTCAGTCATGTAAGAGAAATTGGCGTTTCATTAAAAAGGTTGATGTAATGAGGAAGTTTGTGTTTTATTGAAATGGATTTTCATGAGGAAGGCGCACACTTAGATGTCACTCAACGAAAAAGGCATCAAATGGAAGTGCGCTTTTTTTAAACAGGTAAGCCCCTTGAGTAACTGACAACTGATTCAGGGCGCTCGAAACACCCAGAGATTTTTATATCTGTTGCAGACAGTGTGCCAGAATGCGTTTTTTGCTTGCCCACAGGTTAGTTTGCACTTTATTACTCCTCTACTCGAAAACATTGGGCAATATTCTTCATTGAAACATTCCTATGGGCACTGTGTCATGGACTGGATGGGTGAGTGCAACGAGAGCTCATTCCTTGATCCACATTATGGCAAGATCTAATGAAAAAAGTATGCTACATTCTATCACAATACATTTGCTTGACCTTTCTTGCGGTTATATGATCTTGCAATATAGCCAATAATGTGGAGTTCTCTGCATAAACATTTGCGTCGGCCGGGATGCGAACCCAGATATCACTCTTTCCGAGCCGCATGCTAATCGTTTGCACCACCAACGCGTCGGGTGTAACGGTTAGCATACGCTCCTGGTAAGAGTGAGATCTGAGTTCGAACTCCAGCTGACGCAAATGTTTTTGCAGAGCGTCCACATTATTGGGTATGTTATATTTAATGAATTTCACTGACCAGTTTTTGTCTTTCCAATCTTATCGTGGTTGCTCGTGGTTCTAGCCATTCTTATCAAATTTTCTGCATGTGCAACTATTTCAGTGGTGATAGCTACGTAGGAAATATCGTCTGCAATGAGTAAAATTAAAATTACAAAAGTATTTGCTCTTGAAAGTGGAGATTCGTTATAGTTTTTCACAGTCAAATTACAGACTTATCATTGCTGTGCTTTACTTTCGACTCTCTCAGATTGGAATAAAAACGTCAGCTGCAAGAGTGCCAAAGGTAAGTGTAGCGATGTTGTTGTTTCATCAAAACTGGACACAGTGGTCACACCCTAATACTGTCTCATTGGTAAATTCAGAATGATATGTTTGCAGGTTATGAACATCATCCCTCATGAGCGGGCGAACAAGCAATCGTGAACTTACGAAATGCATACTGCAGCACGAATGTGTTTATGGAGAAAATAATGGATCTATTATTCTGTTCTTATTCTTCTTTAGCGATATTGTTGATTATAATTCAGAGGAACGACTATGTGTTAACCTCGCCATCTTAGCAATAAGTATAAATATCAAAGACTTATCTCTTTTGGGCGACGTCACAACTCTTTTGCGATCTTAATATTTGTACTATTATTTGATTTTTCACTTCTTTCGTCCTTAGTGCCTCGTCAGATTCCTGTGCCTTCATTTCGACATCACTTTAATTCATTTGAGGACATCATCTAATCTTTTCTTGTCCACACTGAGCTGCTTGAGTAGCGCGAAAAGGCATAGCGATATTAAGCAGGTCCACCAGAACACAGTACAGTGTTTTTTCCGAGCACCTCATCGCTAACTGTAGTGCAGAATTTGAATTACTTCAACTCTTCTGTATTAGACCGCCCATTCCGATGAGCATGATCTTATATTAATGAAAGGATATCGCTGTATGGCTAGCAGGCATTTGTCTAAGATTTCTATTGAAACGAAAACAATTTCTTGCGAGATGTGAGATGATTTTCTGTCGTCTTGGAGATACGTAAAAATCGTTTATACTAAAGTCACTGGTATTTACCAATCTATCAATACTCTCAGAAGCGTGGTTTTTTGAATGAGGTTGAAGGCACACTAGAAAAAATGGCTTCCCAGCAGGTTTATAATGCGTTGCAGTTTAGCATCTATGGCTACGATGATCGCGAGGAAGGTTATCTGTCGGCCATAAAATGCTTTCGATGGACATGCGATTGAATTTGAATTGAGACGAATAAGCACTCTTAGAGCTTTTTCACTCACTTAGAAAACCGAGGTGCAAACGAAGCTATTTACTATGTTCTAGACGTCGCGCGCAGGTCACCTTCCGTGAGGTGATACTGAATTATTTTTACGATGTCTGAATTTGGCGAAAGTGCTAGTAGTTCTTTCTTATTCATTTCCTTCTAGCATAGATCAGTGTGCTACGTGCCAATCAATGAGAGCTCTTTTCTACGCTTAACATTTCAAAAAGCAAAAATTTAGGAAAACAAACAAAAGCTTCTCGACACCTGCTGAAATTTGAAAGTTCATTAAATTTCTATTGAAAACAACAATTATTCTTGAAAATAAAGACCATCATTATCTGCGGTCTTCTGTCACCGATGTGCAAGCGTTCAGATCTGCTTAAAGTGCCATTCCTTCTGCTTTGATTCAAAAAGCTCATATGATGCCTTTTCAACTTGACCAAATGTTGCGGATCGACGTCCACGTGGGAAATGTTCTATGAAGCGAAAACGCGGACCATAAAAGGACGGCGCAGAATCAGGACTGTATGTTGGATGTGGCAAGACCTCGACTTCCTCTAATTTGATCAAACTTCTCCTTAGTCTTCTTTACGGTGTGAAGTTTGGTATTGTCTTTCTGAGACATCGCGCTTTGGACAAATCAATGTCAGGTACGCCTTTGCTTCAACGCATCGTAGACTCGCACTAGCCGCTCGCAGTAGAGTTTTCCATTGATGGCGAGACAATCAGGGGCAAGTTTGAAATGCTCGACACCTTCAGGAGTTTACCATACGCAGATCATGACTTCTTGGCTAAGCTGCTTTTGTCGTACAACTGATGATGAAGCTTGGCCTTTGGGAACCGGTTATTTGCTTGGAACGTAATCGTAAGCTGCTGAACCCACTACTTCATATCCGACGTCATGATACGCTGCGAAAATCGACCGTTCAACGCGTTCTGCAGCAGCTGACGGCAAACTTCAGCGAGGAGACTGGATCGAGCTTCAGTCAATTCTTGTGGATCTTGGCGAGGCTACTTGTAGGCAAAATGTAGTTGTTGGAGATAGCTGCAGAGCGTCTTTTGATCGACGCTAGGTTCTGTTACCAGTTCACGAGCGCTTGATAATAGTTCCGCATCTGAAGTTGCTTGCAGATCTCCGTCTTTCATTTCAATTGTCGGCTAAAACGGGCTTGGTCATCGTGACGGCAGTCACCACTTTCAAATCGTTTGTACTACTTTGGAACACAGTACTACTTTTCACATATACTCTAGTTTCCACCTTCGGCACAAAGATCTCCTTCGCAGCATCTCTTGTCGAAAGTCGTGTCACTTCCAGCATCAGCGTTTCACAACTCAAAGCTCAATTTTGTCCATCTTCATCGTTTTATATCCGATGAGTAACATAAAATTTGCTCACTCAGACTAGCACTGTCGTGGACGTTTTTTATGGAAATATTTCTGAGATAATCCCAAGAACAACCGATAATGTGTGGAACAAACGTAAAATTCAAATTTTTTGCGGGATTAAGGAGCTTTTTCCTCAACCTGGTTTCTCTCAAACTTCTTCAGAAAAAAAACGATTTAACGAAACCTAGATCTACTTATCGCTTACTTTTGTCCGAAGTTCCAATTGTGGACTTTCTGTCATAATGAAAAGCTGTACGAGGTGAATTTGTATTAAAATATTTTCAAGTAAGTCGTTTGAATGCGTAACATAGAGTACAAAACTTACTTTCTATATTAGCTTCACTAAGGCTGGCCTGCTTCTCACGTAAAGCAGCAGATTGTCATCAAGGATTAAGACTTTCATCAAGCAAGATATTCAATTGATCTATAGCATCGACTGTTTTTCAACCTTGCAATAAACATTCAACATAATTCTTGAGAATGTTCAAAGCCTTACTGAGGTTGTTACGCCAGAGCCATACAAGTGTTCCGGAGGTCTCGCCCTTCTCTTTAGTGGCCCACGCCCCACATTAAGCCCTTCATTGTAGCAAGGAGGGAGACGTATGTGGTAACAGTACAGCATACAATGCCACTGTGGAATCATAGCTTTCAGTCGATGGATCGCGGCTGGTAGATACAAAATGGTCCATAGAATCGACTGTTTATCAACCTCGCAATATACATTCAATATAATTTTTAAGAATGTTTAATGTGGAGCGTGGGCCACTGACGAGGGGGCGAGACCTCCGAAACAAGTGTATGGCTTTAACGTAACAACCTCGATAAGGCTTTAAACATTCTTGAGAATTATGTTGAATGTTTACTGTTTTCAATCGAATGGTTTTGAAACCTTCTTATAAAACTTTGATATATTCTGAGAGACTGTTTTGAGCCTTTCCGAGACTTGGTATGTCAATGGCTTGCATATGTTTTAGCGGTCTCTTAAAACAGTCGATCAAAAGACAATGATTATTTACTTCACAGCAGCAGTAAGCCATTAACTCAAAAATGGTCAAGACAACATCTCACACTGTCTGAAATATATATAACATCATACCACCGCAAAAAGCGGTTAAATAAAAGCAATTTCATTTGATCTGAAATAGAACACTCTTGCGCTTTCCTAGTATCAGTAGGAGTGACTAGTGGAGCGTGTGGTACTGATGAGACGAGCGAGACTGCCGAGAGGTACGTAAGCCACTAACATACCAAATTTCGAAAAGGCTTGAAACAGTCTCTAACAACTCATAGAGTTTTCAGCCATAGTAACCATATAGCATGATCTATTTTCCACATATGATATGAAAGCGATTACCAGTGGCCGGCCGAAACTTGCCGCCTGTAGGCAGGTCTTTTACTACACACATGACTGAAAACACGGAAAATCAAAATTTTCAAAAACGTGCTTGTTCATTTGCCTCTTTTTAGAGCAGATAGCGCGGAAATCTGTTCTATCTAATTCACAAACCGCTGTGACACCTTCCAGAATGCCCATGAGATTGAGAACTACTAAATTATGCCACCCGTCGCTACATTTTTGATGTTCGGATATAAGCACTCTTAACACTCGATTCCTTTCCTTGTGCGCATCCTCCGCAAAGGTCTTCGAAGATTTCGTGTGTTGTTTCAACTGCTGCTGAGGATTTTGTCTTCTCTAAGACGTGGGGAGCTAGTTGTGCAAAACTCCTTGCAATCTCGGTGAAATCCGACAGAGGGGGTTTACGGTAGGGCGTTCGTTGGCTGATTTAAAGAGACCATTGGGAGGAAGGCTTAAACCGGAACTTTCTTGATAGCGTGCATCATTACCCCCTTGGGCGCCAAAGAAATTCAGGGTATCGAACGATTACTAAAACTCCTAAGGGGAAGCTTGGTTCAGAGGGAAATGTTCCAATGAGTAACATAATTTTATTTTTGGTGTTAAAACCGCAATAGAAAGCGTGTTTCAAAAATAAAATAAATCTTCAAATTTAAGCTGTAGAATAAGTACTCATGCTTCAAACCACGGAAAAATAGCTTTCCAATAGCACTGGTACAGTGACCGGATAACGAAACCAAAAAAACAGTAGGTGTTTACTGATCAAATTTTTGAAGCTTTGATGTTTTGAATAAATTCAGTTGTTCGATATTTATTTTAAAGAACAGTATTGTAATGATACATGTAATTTTTATCAACTGCCCCGGCGCATCTCGTGAGAACACAGACGCAGACAGCATGATGGATGCGAGGAGACGAACTTACGTTCTGAGGAAGCATTATCATCATGAAATGA